TCACCGCGGTGCAGGAGGCCCGGGCCGCACCAGCTGTGCTCGTGCACGGCCTCGGTGTGTGGCTGGCGCACACCTAGGTTGGTGTGAGCGTGGTCTGGGTGTGTGCGCAGTGACCATCCCAGGACGCATCTCCACTGCTGGTGATGCCAGTGTGCACAGCAGATGCCTAGAGGGCACGAGCAACGCTCTCCTGTGGGACGCCAGCCTCAGGCTCCTGTGCTGGAAATGCACGCTCAGTCCTCCGTGGTGTGCAGCTAGGAGGAAACCCTGGGATGTCGGACGTGACTTCCTCAACCCTGCCCACTGGAAGTACTACCCCCAATGATGACGGTAACAAGGAGCCTGCGGAGTGGCGCTGGGCTGTTAGACTGAGGTTAAGAAGCACACAGATCACTTGATGTCTCTGGCCTTGGCTTCAGAAGCAGTTATTATTCTTGCAGTTTGTTCATCTCACCTCACTTTCTGAACCTGGTTTAGGGATCAGCTCAGCCAGGGGAGGTTGCCCTCAGTAGACCCCCGGGCCTGGGGAGCTGCGGCCAAGCTCCAGGGCCCAGGCTGGGACAGGACACGCTTGGCGGTGCCTTGCTTCTCCACCCTGCACAACTCCACGCTGTTCCCCCTTCACAGCTGGCTGGCGTCTCCCTCTGCGGCTTCTGCTCGGCAGCTGGTTCACACATGAGGTTCCACCAAACCCTGGGCAGAGGCCACAGCCCCAGTGCAGGCCCACACTCAGGGGGAAGCACGGGGCCCTCACTGGCCACGAGCAAGAGGAAAGGCAGAGCTGCCGGTGTCTGGAGGTCTCCCCTCTCTCCCTCCTTCCTTCCTTCCCTGCTTTTCTGGAGACTGAACCCTGGACCTTCACCTGAGCTGCATCCCCAGGCATTCAAACGTTTTTCCTGCATTTGAAGCAGGATCTTGATTCTCACTGAGTGACTCAGGCTGGGGTCCTTCGGTTCAGCCTCCCAGAGCACTGAGACAGGCACGAGCCTCCACGCCCAGCCTGAGAGGCCCCTTCCTACGCCTGCTCCCCTGCGCCGTGCACAGCGGCAGTGGATTGAGCTGTGCGTGCGGTGCATTTAGTAACCTGCCTGCCCCGTAGGGTTGGGCTGGAAAGTTTTTACATCATACTTTACAGGAAAATAAAGATACAGCTTTAGTTCCATAAAGGATTGAGAGATGAAGATCTAGATGTTTATTATATTACATTTAATATTACATTTAGTGCAAATAGGGAAGTGTGTAGTACTCAGATCTTCCTTTCGTTAAATGGTCAGTCACTAAATACAGGTTAATAATTGTCGTTAACCCCAGTAAGCATGTTTTGTGGACAGCGGAAAGTCGCTAATCGTTTATATTTGCAGGGAGTCACACATCCAGGAAGGAGGAACTCCTATATAGATGGAGCGTTGTATGATTTCTCTTTATAAAAGTCATATTTTGCACCTTTTGGCAGATCTCTGGGTCTTGTCTGCCATGGGAAAGATGATACATCTGATAAAGATGAAAATTTTCAAGCATTAAACATTAGTCTCTTAGCAACCATGGAGATTTAAACGCTCCTTCTCATAATGCCCATTGAGAAGTGTGTGGATGATTAAACACTTCCAAAAAGGGAGGTGCAGGACGGCCCACGTGATGGATGGCTCGGCCCCACGGGTGACAGCAGGAGGGAGTCTCGGGCTCCCCTGCCTCACTCTCTCGGGAAGGGAGCTGTGCACCCAGGTTTAGGACAGGCCTGTCGGTAACTTTCCCCAAGAAAGTCCTGTTTGTGATCTACCTGATGGCAGGACAGAGTATGAATTGCAAGCAAAAGTGGTATTTCTGAGGCTCAGCATTCCAGTTCTTCACAAGATAAATGTTTACACTTTGTGCTCTCAACTAAGCAGATGACAGGAGCTCAGCCACTTGCATGAGAGAAAAGTTACACTTGGAGAATGGAACAGAAGCAATATTGCCCTTCCGGTATACGGTGCAAATCAGACTGATTGGAAGGGGTTCCTCAGACGGGTGACCCTCAGTGGAGACAAGGGTCTGGAGCCATACCGGGCATGACCCCATCTAACAAGAACCCTTAGTTTGGGGCTCCCGGTGGAATTGCAATTGGTCTGGCGTTTAGATGGTCCTTAGATAAAGGGACTTGTCCTGCCATCTCCTGACCTCAGTCCCGGCCATCTGCAGGGGTGCAGGCTGCAGTCACCTCAAAGCCAGGGACAGCTGGCCCCACCCTCCCGGGCTTGCACTTCCAAGCGGGGCATAAGTGCTGGTGTCCTGAGTACCGTCCTCCGGCCTCCACCATGATGTTTCGCCTGGGAATGGCTATGAGGTCTTCTGCGGAGCAGGAGCCCTGTGGAGGTTTCACTAAACATGGTGGGGGGAGGATGATGAAAATGATCACATCTACAAGGGCAAAATGAAGGGTTTTGTCTATGCAAAAGCAAAATAAACAAAAAAAACTTCAAAACATCAGATGGATGAAGAGTCATGAATATCTTAACTAGGAGAGTGTGCGGAAATGACCAAGGAATTTTTCTTGAATCCACATTCTCCACAGTGACGAGGGTTCCCCTCATCCTCTGCAGAGACACCTGCTGCTTGGACTTGAGCCGGGCATTGTGCTTGTCAGACTGCCTATGCCATGTGCGTAACAATGGAAAGACGGGCTGACAGCGGCCACGGTCACTTCTCCGGCCCAGACCGACACTCCCGGGAGAGAACGGCACTATTATGAGAGACGGAGCATGGCGTCGCCCCACCAGCTCCTGCGGGTGGGTTTACTCCACCAGGGGCTTCCGGGGGTAACTTCCAGGGCTAATTTATTCACTGATGGGAGACTCTATGAAACTGTCCTGTGCAAAAGACTGTCTCAGGGAGCAAATTCTGAGGAAGACGGTGAGCTGAGTGTAGAGACGACTTCGTGGGGGACAGGGAACCCAGGGTTATGGAGGGGATGCCTACTGAAACCCAATTCCCTTGACTTGAGCCAGCCTTTCATGAAAGGTAGTTTGGCTGAGGGCCTTTGGGGTTTCCAGTACCTAACTGCCGTGTGCCTGTGTGTGTGTGTCGGTGTGTGTGTGCTCATGCACCCATGCATCTGATAAACTCAACACAAGGTGAGACTAAGATGTTTGTAAGGACAGCAATGATATCCCATTTCCCAGAAATAATAAAACTCCACCAGATCCTCAAAATGAGAGTCTACTTGGCTTTGGAGAGGGATGGGTCAATGTTCCTCCTCTACTGGGAGGAAGTGGAGGTGCACTGGGGTCCAGCTCTGACTGTCCCTTGAGAGGCATCCCCAGGATTAGGACATGAGGCACCCTCTCGTGCCCCTGCTGTGGCCCCTCAGCGACTTAGCCTCTAGCTCTCTCTCCCCAGGCAATGGTGACCGGGTGAGGGCGTGTCCCACCTTTCCACCGGTACCCTGGGGCAGCAGGGGACAGGTGACTGTGCGGCACCCGCAGGTCGTGGCTGGACATCAACATCATGTGTGAGGACGCGAACGGAGGGACAAAGGATCCAATAAATAAATCAAAACCCCGCAGTCACGGGCAGGGACTGCTGAAGTTCCTGTCTGTGTTTCCATTGTACACCTCTGGTAATTGCTTCCTCTTGGTACCTTACAGCAACAATGGATTTTTTCCTCCATAATTATAATTTCAGCAAATTTTTGCAATTGCAAAATCCTGCATGTTTAAAGAACCCTGGGCTCCATCCCCTGGAGAGCACAGACCTCCGCTCTCTGCTGTTAATTCGGGGTGGTTCTTACTCCGGTGCCAACTCCAGGAACTCTTTACGGGGCGGATTTATGATGGATGCCATCTGGTCTGATAGAAGGAAACAGATATTGATTTTTAATATTTTCTCCCAACTTGTTTACTCTTGGATAATACAGCAGCTGTGTGGCAGCTTGTCTCAGAGTGGAAAGGATTATTACCACTGCCTTTTGATGAGATAAATTACCCAGGATGACTTGAATGGCTAAAGGGTATACTTTGATGTTATGTCCCTTCATTTACCCTTATGACTAAATGATTATTGATTTTATATTTTTAAGCTTTTGAAACGTGAAAATAAGTTGGTGGAGAAGCCCGGCTGTGTTAGTTTTATTAATTTATTTCTGCAGGGCATAATTCACTCTGGACCAGGTTGTGAAGGTTTTGGGTTCATGACCGGCTGCAGATACAGTTGCAAAGAAATGGTTTATTTATATAGTCATTGCGAGTACTCCCAAAATCAATACAGTCTGGGATTGGATGATTAAACTCAGTCCCTTTGTGGGATTCATTCCTGTAGCAGCTGCTGAAATCATCTTGGCTGTGCCAGATTCATGTGATCAGGTCTACAAACAGCAAGTTTGTTCAAGTTGAAATATTATTTTTTTGCTCATCATTTTTTTTATCTGCTGTGTTCACTCAATGACACTAACGGCCTGGCAGGGAGAAAGGGGCTGATGGCTCCTCCAGTGAAATCAGCAATCTGCATCCCGAGCGGGTGTCCTGGGGGATTCTGCAGCTCTGACCGGAGGTCCGGCCCTGAGTTCGTCCCAGAAGCCCCAGCTGGCAGCTTGAGTCCAGAGTGGCGAGGCCTCTGTGGCTGGCGGCCTCGGTCACTTCTCCTCCTTTATGCCCTGTACCTACAGGAGTACAGGCCACTGGTCATTTTGAGTTTGTTCTTCGTAATTGTCTCTCAATTTCTTTTTTTTGAAGGTACAGAGGATTGAGCCTAAGGCCTTACATGGAGCTACATCCTAGCCCTTTTAAATTTTTTTAAATTTTGAGACAAGGTCTCCCTTAGTCACTAAGTTGCCCAGGCTGGGCTTGAATTGGGATCCTCCTGCATTCCATAATGCTTTCCATAGTTGCTGGCTTACACCATCATACCAGAAGTGTTCTGCGTGTGTGTGTGTGTGTGTGTGTGTGCGTGTGTGTGTGCAGTTTGTTTTTAAGATAGGATCTCACTGTGTAGTTCAGCCCTTGAACTCACTATGTAGCCCAGGCTGGCCTCAAACTCGCGGTGATCTTCCTTCCTCAGCCTCCTGAGTTCCAGGGAGGCTCTGCATATTTTAACATAATTCCTCACCTCTTTTCTATTCCTGGTTAATAAAACTTAGCTCAATTACTGTGACGGTCTTAAATCAAGTTTAAAATTAGAACTTTGACGTTTGGCTTCTTTATCTAATGTCCACTTGTCCCCCACGAGCTGACCAGAGCCTCAGCAGCTAGGGGTATGTGACAGGAGGGACTGTTTTTCTGAGGCATCCTGCATGTATTTCCTCTGGCTCTGAGAGTTCCTGGTCAGCCCAGGCCATGTGAAGACGGCAGCCAGGTTCTACTTTTACTTCAGCAGAGTTTGGAGCCCCTCGGTGTCCCTCGATATCCTTACCCCCACCAGGGAGAGGCCTTAGCCGAGGACATGAATATGCCTCAGCCCACGGCGCTGTCCCTCAGTTCGCGGAGCACTCGGACTTGATGGAGCGCCGCAGTGAGGACCGCGCTTCCCGCGCAGCTCCGCCTCTGTAGAGCCAGAAACCTGCTCCCCACGCACCCCGTGCTGCAGACACGCCGGAGACGAGCAGGAGCTGCCTCGTCGCTGAGAGGGACTTCACCACAGCACTGTGAGAGGGGCGGTGCATTTTTCATGGAGCTGAAGAAGGTATAAAACACTTTTTCTTACTTTAGTCGGTATGTGTGTATAATTAATATGCAGTAAATTATATGGCTCCAGTTTAAAGCTTGTTTAAATGCATAGAATTGGAAGTAGAATGAAGAAATAAAATAACTTTTGGAGCAGTGTAATGTAATATGTTGATCAATTTTATAGGCGAGTGGTGAATATTTAATTAATCACCTTTTGACAATTATTCACACTGGTCAGAATCAAGGTCTCCATTAAAGCCGAAGAATAGCTTCATTACAAATGACCCATAAAAGTGTCAAGCGCTGGCTGCGAGGACAAGTGATTTCCTCTCCCTTTAAGACCATTAGACGGGATGACGGGCTGGGCGATGGAGTGCATAATCGGGTGATTACCGAGAAGAGCTCAGTGGTAAATTTGACAGCTGGGCTGGAGGCTGGGGATGCGGCTCTAAGGGGCCACCAGCCCTGCAGTGCGCCTTTACTTTCAGGAGAGGACAAGAACGGCAGCGTTGTTTAGTGCTGGAATCTTGTTTGGTCCTGCGGTATTTGCCGAGGTCTCAGGGGTGACAACTCTGAGCACTGTGGCTCTGAGGAGAGGACCAAGCCGGCTCTTTTCAACCTGTCCCCTTTGCAGGCTCTCAGCAGAGGGAAGACACCCGCTGCTGTCTGATTAACGCCCCGAGGCCGGGCAGGGAGGCAGAGCGGGACCTGCGTGTCTCAGGGTCGGGCCCGCTTTTCCAGGCCAGGCTCGGAGGACGAAGGACCTATCTGTTACCATGGCTCTTCCAACCACAGTGACTTGGAGGTTGATAGCCACTGGCATGCAGTGGGTCCACTCCCAGCGCTCACAGTTGGCCGCACAGTCCCGGTCCTCATCCCTTCAGATCTGGTGGGGACCCCAGCATTCAGCATCCCCCACCAGTCCTGCCTGAGCCAAGAAATGCTCTTTCCCATATAACGCTGCGGTGGGGTTCCTTTACAGCAGCCTCCAGATTCTCTGCCTTGGAAACAATACTAGAGCTTAGAACTGTGCCTTCGATCACACACACACACACACACACACACACACACACACACACACACACACATCATCTGGCTGAGGGCAGGCGAATCACTCTGCGACCCAAACTTGGCTCCCAGGGGCCCCAGCAGAGAGCAAAGCCCCCGCCAGGTCCTCCGTCTCCAGTGTTTGCACACTTGACTCTGACCGTGATTGCAAATGGCTCTGTCAGACTTTTTCTAAAATCTAGCAAAAATAGAAGAGGCTATTACTAGTTGTAACACAAACAATCTGAAGATACTTGTGTTTTCAAAAGTTCCGCAGGTCCTGCCTGCCCCTCTGACGTCTCTTAAACCTCCTTGTTCCTGTTCTGAGCCTCGGATCCGGCGCCTGTGGGCAGCCTAGCGCTGGGGCACCCACCGCCGCGCACGCTCAAGTGGCCACTTCTAAAACTTAATGGCTATTGACTCTGGTCAGGATTTCTGAGATGTTATCTGGCCCGTAAAGACTCTGCAGCCCGCCGTTTACATTGTATCTGGCGATTGTATAATCAGTATTGATTTTCCTTGTGTGTAGTACCTATGTCAAACAACCTAATATATTTAAATGGTGATTATTTCAGTTATATATCTACCGTGAGATAAGATCAAAGGTAGTTAGGATGTGTGGTAGATGGGAAGATAGCCGAGTGCGCCTGGGCCTTTACCTCTGCCATTGTACAACCCAACCACAATTGAGCACGTTTAATCATTAACTTTGGGAAGCCGTGGGGACCCTGCTGCTGAGGACCGTCCTGGCAGATGGCGGGAATGCGGGAGGGAGGGGTGGGATCTCAAAGATCCTGGGAAATCATTCTGTGCGCTTAATTCACTCCTTGTTAGAGCACAGATACTTCTGGAGAAATGAGAAACAAACTTAGGCCGACTGTAATTTCCTCTAGGATGTAGACACTGCACCCTCCTCAGAGCCATCCCGGGGGCCATTCTGAGGCTAGGGTGCTGTGGGTCCCTCCCAGGGGCAGACAGCGGGGGTCTGCCCTGACAACCCCTGGCACTGGCCGCACACACTGAGGGCAAAGCAAGCTGGCTTCCTACTGTTGCTCTGCTTGTGGACGGCATTTCTTAATGTTTTCCTCTTTCAAAATACATCTGGGTGATCGTTTTGGGACTCGGTGTAAATAAGCACATGCATATTTATTACTTTGAAAGTGATTAATACTACATGTAAGGCAAGCTAATGAAACTTTGTGGGAGTTAAAAAATACAAATTTTAACATGAGGCTTGCTGTTCACATCTGTCATCGATGCTTCTGCAAGGATGCGGGGTTCGAGGACCTGCCTATGCTCTGCCCTGGGCCTGCACCCCCAGACTTCTCTGTCTGCCTGGTTCTCTGCGTCCCGGAGGCTGGGCCTGCTATGGTGTCTGCTCCACCAGCCCCTTCTCTAACTCAGGGCTGGAAAGCCGACAGGTGGCTTCCGGTTTCGTTAGCGTCTCTATTCAGTGTGTCTCCGTGGGACCCAGCGTTTTTCTTTTATATAGCATTTATGGGTAGTTATCTTGTTTAATTAAGGTAGCTAATGGAATACCCTAAAAATAATAACACTAGCAAAGTTGTGTGATACAAAGTTATTCCAAAAAGCTGAGAATCCATCGTCCGTGGTCATCAACTGGGCAGGTGCAGAATGTGCTACGATAACTTCCCACAAAGGCTCAGGAGTGCTTTGGATCTGACCCCACATGCAAACCCAATTCCTGGTGAGGAAGGAGAGGTTAGGGCAGATCCTGGAACTCATGGGCCAGGCGGCCAGCCCCGCAGCAGGTGCCCACCTTCCCCTGCATTGGGGGACAGTTGCTTTCGTCTGCTTGTCCGGATGCCTGTGTCCCCCCAGCCCACAGGACCCAGGTGTTTACATGCGCCCGCCACGGGGATGGCCTGGGGATGGCACTGTGGGGAGACGGGCGGGAGACAAGGTGGAGCACTTGTGGTAGGAATCGCGCCCTCACCAGGGAGCCCAGAGAGCGAGGACGCAGTGAGAAGATCTGTCAACCAGGAAGTGCCCCGCGCGGCGGGAGTCGTTCCTGAGCTTGGACATCACGGGCTCCGGAAGGGGGCTCCATGTCCGGCCCAGAAGGACCCGGCTTGACGGTGTTGGTGCAGCAGCCACTCAGCACCAAGGCCCAGCCGCCCCCTCCCAAGGCCTCCGCTGCAGACTGGGAAGGCCGCGTCAGCTGTGGGTTCTCACGGTGCCCTGAGTTCCACCGCACTGTGCGTACAGCACCATGGCTGGGACTAACAAGTCCTCCCCTGCGAACCCTCGTGCACACTTTTACCCTGACGTGGGAGGAGCAAAGCACAATTTGGGCTGTGTTCTAGTCCAAACCCAGCACCCTTTCCACGAGAACTGGACGGGAGTTTTGCTTGATGATTTTTGCTGATTTTAACCAAGTTCTTAGTTCTTAGTTTTACAGTCAAAGTCTTGTTAACTTGCTTTACAAACTAACTTCAAACTAACTTCATACCATGGCTCCTAGGTTCAAATTTTTCTCACTGATTAGATTTTTTAAAGATTAAGGTCACAACTGACATACTACAGAAAATATTTAAAGTTTTAGGGAAATGTATTAAAAGTGCTATGTTGGGAATCTGACTGAAACGTGAAATTTCACTAGCTCTGAGAAAAGGCAACTGCTGAGCATAGGAAGGTGGCAGACATGGTGGTCTTACCTCTCGGAGTGGACTGAGCCGCTGGGGGTCACACCATCCTCCCTGCATGAAGCAGCTCTCACAGTGACCGGGTCACCCAAGGCTTCCTCTGTCCCTGCCCCTTGGCCTTCGGGAACTGACGCAGCACTTGCTCCTGGCCTGGGCTCTGCACACCGCAGGGCTGCCGTTGGCCCAGCCCAACTTACAGTGCACACCCTGCTCTGCATATTGCTCATGCAGGTGTCTCCCGTCAGAAGGAGGGTCACACATGGGTAGGTGACTCCAGGGACACCAGGAAGACCTCAGCAGTCCCAGGTGGGAGGAACCGGCAGGCTCTGGTGCCTAGCACCCCAGAAGTGAACTGGATCAAGGCCCCAGTGGGGCTGGGGGACCCCAGCACTATCTGCATAGCCAGTAGTCAGTCAGGGACCTGGCAGGATGTCGGAATCTGGGAGTGCTAGGTCCTGGCTGCCGGGCAAAATACAAGCCTGGTGCTGGTGCCGCCCGTGGTATCAAGACTGAGGGAATTCCTAGAGGCCAACACATGTTCTCCTGGGAGATCCCAGAGTCACTTTCCTCCGATGGGCAGAGTTCTCCAGGGTCACAGTCTGAGAGTGGCCCTGCAGCTCAGCGTGGGCTCCCGTGTTTCCCCAGGCACCCCCAGGACTGCTGCTGCCCTTTCTGTTCAGGTTTGGTCCGTGCTGCAGACGCTGCCGGGCACTCTCTGCTCCTCCCGTCCAGTGGGACCCTGTTTGTGGTGCCTGACACGGCTTCTGAGACCAGCCGCTGTGCTTCTGCATCTCCCCAAGGTGCCATGGCTCCGTGTACCTGAAGCCGCATGCTCCTTTTGCTCCTGACATTCCCAGTGCCTGCAGAGGCTCAGGGCCTCCCTGTGCCCAGGGTCACCTTACCCATAAACACTTGGGTGACCGTATCCACAGTGACAGCTGACATCTGACAATTCCCTCCACGCAAGGTGCTTCATCTACTTGGCTTGCACGTGGCAGAAAGTTAGCTGGACACACACCAATCCCAAAGGTGAGTTATGGGATCATCTTCATTCACACTTGCGGAAACTGAGGCCCAGAGTGAAAAAGTGGGTTGGCCAACTTTTCACAGCCGGCTGGGGGAAAGTGCGGTGGCCTCCCACTTCCTGGTCGAGGTCACTAGAACATGTTTTGTTCACTGAGGATGAGCGCTGGAGCCTCACTCCGCAGGCAAGTGCTCTACGCTGAGCTGCACCTCAGCCCATTGGACATACTTGGTGTTAAACGTTATTTACTTCAGAAATTCCCAGCTGCAGCATTACCAGAATTATAGGAAGCCTATTGTTTTGTCAAAACCCTAGCATTAATGAGTTATCTTAAAAGAAAACCCAAGAGCATTCTATAAGTCTCAAGTTTTTTGAAGTATTTTTCTGCAGCATGTCTTATTGCATTGGCCTAAGGTGAGAGAGAGAGAGAGAGAGAGAGAGAGAGAGAGAGAGAGAGAGAGAGAGAGAGAGAGAGAGACTTTCATGATGGTGCAGCGGCAGACGTCCTCATTTCTATTTTCGTGGTACAAGAGACTCCAGTGCTTCCACATCATTACAGTCTTGTCTATTGATTTAAAAGAGTAGCTCTTGTGAAGCGTTCCCCTTCCCACGCTCACACTTGGTGAAAAGGTGGGTTTTAGTAAATGCTGCCTCTGTCTACACTGTCTCCTGTATTTGGAAACATGAGTCGTTCATGTGGTACAAAACAGTATTTTCTTAAATTCATCATTAAATAAATTAATTGAGCCTCTGATCAATGAAACTTACCCTATCTATCTATCTATCCATCTATCTATCTATGGGGTTAAGCCGAGGCTCTCACATTGAACTGAATGCCCAGTCCTTTTTAAATTTTTGTTTTGAGACAAGATCTGCCTAAGCTGCTGAGCCACCCACTGGCGAGCAGGGTTTGGAGCACCCTTATGCCAGGGGATGATACTCATCAGGGTAGCAGGTCTGAGAGGGTCGCTCCGTACCACATGCAGTGGAGGCGCCCACACACGAACATGTATAAATACATACGTGCACACACACACTCTCCCGCAGACCTTTTCTGAGTCTATACATGCAGAGATGGTCAAGTGCCTCAGTATTCTGAGTTAAGTCATTGTAAACCTATTTAAGTAACATTTCTGTGCCTATTTTTTGATGTCTATTTTACTGGAATTGCTAGGTTGCTTCCTAGCAGCTGTGAACACAGTAAATTCGGTTCTGATGGCAGAGTAGACGGCAAGTACGTCCCCCGCACAAGGATGAAGCGTGGAGACCAAGCCTCTCGCTTCAGTGGGGCGACAGCAGCTGCTGCACAAGACATCGCCGGAGAAAGTCTAAGGTTCGGACAGCCAGAACAGGAGAATTTCTGGGTCTGCATCTCTTTCCATTTCAGTCATGTGATGCCTTTGACAGACAACCTTTTAATGTTTCGCTTCCCATACTTACTGGCATGAAATGGAAGACAGGAGGGTGGGTGAGCTCCGAGCTGGGCTGTCTGAAAACGAACCTGAAACCTGGCTCACACGTGCACTCCAGCCCCAGTGCTTCCTCTCGGATGACAATGATGCCACCGCGCCCCCATGACTGTTTACATCCGATGCCACCCTTGGGGAGGTGGCTGTGGCCGCGGGAGCTGTGGACATGCGCTCTGCTCTGTGTAGTCCAGGAGCTGATGCCACAGAATCTTAGCTGCCCAAGCAGCGTGCAAGCTCCACCCAGAGAGCACGTTCCTCCCGCAGTGACTTTCGGAGCCACTCACTGCAAAGCTGCTTCTGGGTGTAAAATTCTCTTTCACCGACTTGAACCTTTGCGCCACCTTATTCGAGCCGATCTTGGACGACCTGTGGAACAAGAGGGGAAAAGCAAGGGGCCGCTGTTCTTGCTCATTCCCAGGGAGTTCCGCCCAGCCGCGTTTTCAGCTTTCCGACCTTCACTGCGCACCTTTCCTCCTCCGCTCCGGCGCAGCGGGAGTACGGTGGCGGCAGGGAACAGGTCAGCTGTTTTAAAAAGGGGGCATGAACATTTCCATTTTAAAGATTTAATCAAAAGTTATGAGGAAATACTATAAGATGAAATTGTAACAAAATATCTAATACGAAATCAAAATGAATTATTTAATTCCATCCTGTTTTCTAACGTTACAAATTAAGATGCTCGGGAGTCTTTGGACACTCCCTTAGATTTTTCTCATAGTATTTTAGAGCTTCCTCACAAAGGAGAAAGGAGCGCTTGCTTCGGAGAAGTTCCAGGCTTTGGCAGAAGCCTGGCTGCCTGGACTTGCGTTCGGGGCCCTGGGGGTTGTCACCGCGGGCAGAGTGGCATCAAGCTCGGTTTCCCCCTCCGCACGCTGTCCGAGTCCTCCGGTGGCCAGGGAATTTGTCATAGGAATCCTGTGTCCAGGAGGACATTCTTTTCGTGACACCTCTTTGGTTTACAATTACTGACTCAATCCACCTGTCACATATGGAAGAGAAAAATCTTTCGGTTCAACATTACACCTTGTCCTTTGCGCTTTACCAGTTTACTTTCTGTTTCTTAGCCAATGGGCCCTCACTGGCCTCAGAACGGACCTCAGCGTGGGATGGCGCTCAGTCGTGGTGGGTCAGGCGCCGTGACTTCTGAGCCCTGCCCCGCAGAGTGGCCCCTTTGGTATGGAGATGGCGCCCGCACGCTCTCCTGGGTGGGGTGCAGGGCTGAGCGGCTGGCTGTCCAGGTCTGGGTCTGGATGGCCCCCAGGGCCAGGGACCAGGCAGCGCTCTCCAACCTCCCTCCCTCCCGATCTCCCCAGCCTTGCTGTCCGTGGGGTCCCCAGGCGGACAGGCTCCCTTGGGCTGGGGCTGATCCTCGCTGTCCCAGTGTAGAGCTGTTCTTCCTGTGGACCAGGGCCCTTCTTTTTGGCTTCAGGAGCCCGCCCATCCTGTGCAGGGGAACCTCTGACAGGAGGAGCCGGGAACCGCCTCTCTTCCCTGGGCTGAAGGGACCAGGTGGCTGGTGTCCAGGGCTGTGTGTGCCTACAGAGGCCCCTCTTGTTCCCGTCCCTTCGGCCTTGCCCTCTCTGACCTGGCCTCTCAGGGTTCGGAACCCGCTGCCCCCTACCCCCACCTGGGTCTCAGCCCCTGGTCTGTGGTTCGAGCACTGGGACCACAGGTCAATATTTTCTCAGTATCTGCAGCTCAGTATTCACTGATTTGCTCCCTGGGCACTGGATCCATGGCGGTTTCCAGAGGGGCCCCAAGAAGCCAGAGTGGTCTTGCAAGGAGGCAGAATGTGGTGCCTCTCCCCAGGCTAGAGTGGACAGGGTCACCAGGGGCAAGAGAGGGGGAAGGTCAGGTGGCATGGACACCCCTGCGTCCACCTGGACCAGCACTGGGAGGGAGGGGGGCAGGCTTTGAGGACACCCCCATGTCCATCCAGCTGCAGCAGGGAGGGAAGAGGGGCTAGGCTCTGTCACCCACCAGCACCTCCTGGCACCGGCAGCTGCACCTGCCCCAGCCGTCCCAGGTCAGGTCCCTGCCACCTGCCCCCCTCCATTCCTAAGGCACTGCACCCCAAAGCCTGAGCAATAACGACCACCTGACTCAGAACAGTGGCTGCATCTGGGCGGGTGTGGGGTCTGGGCAGGGAGGCTGTGTGACCAGCGATCACTTAGATGGGTTCCCGAGGGATCTGTAGGTGCTAGGTGGAGGCTGAAGGAGCTGGAGACCTGGCCTTGAGCTGCGTCCTCCACTTCTGCCCTTTCCTTGAGGTCATGAGAGGTCATCGCTGGCGGAACTCGGCCCCTGAGCTCAGTGGATGTGGCGTCACTCTGTGCAGAGGATCACAGGGGCTTCTGAAAGTTTGGCCCTGTAAGAACGGACCTGGGCCCACGGTCCCGACACAGCACCCAGAACACAGCACCTTTCCTGGGCTCCGGCCTTGCCTCGCCGTACCTCACACAGGAAGCCACTGAGCACTGGGCTCCCTGGCCAGAACCGGGCACCGAGGCTGAGCACCACGCGGCACACCCCACGCCCACCGCCTCCGAGACAGCCCAGCCAGCTCGGCCAAGATAGATGGCCTCCACCCTTGGTGCGGATAACGACATTTCAATAATCACATGCTGGGGTCTTTAGGTCTGGATTTATTATTATTGCTAATAATAATAAAAATAAAGATTGCTTATGCTCTCCCACAGTGCTCTACAAAAATTGATTTTCCTGGGGCCTGCGCGGTTGTTCAAAGCCTTCTTCCCCTCCCGCCTGCAAGGTGGATGGATGTTTTATTACATCAATCCCTTAAATTCCAAATGAATGATTGGCACAATATTGATACGTTCACAAGAGACAGCTTCAAAATCAGATCTCTTTATCTGACGCATTTACGATTCTGTCCATCACAGTCACTGGGCAGAGCCTTTGATTCCGACAAAGGGATTCCCTGTGAGGATGAGGGTGCCCACGTGACCAGCGCTTTCCCGCCTGGCACCGGAGCCCGGGTGCTTGGAGCTGGTCCTGAAGGACGCTGGCGGTGTAGCAGAGCCCGGGAAGGCGCTGTCCCAGCACCGCCCTCCACTCGGGAGGTGCGGCGTTCCGTTATTAAACAATAATTAACTCCTCCAGGCTCAGCCCTTTCCGCCTGCTAATCTTGGTGACTGTTTACATGCTACTATTTGTTAAATGGCAAAGTTTATTGATTTGGCAAAATCAGGTCCACATTGTAGATTTTTCTCTCACTCTGTGTTCCTACATGTGGTTCAGCATTTTTAAATGTCAACCTCAAAGTATTATTGATCGGTAATTAAAAGTGTAGAGAGAAATTAGCATAGTAGAAGTTTATGGTCATTAGTACAGGACCGTCGGGCAGTTATTTAGCGTGTTTTAACATTTATTTTCCTTCCTGTTATTGACACAGAGTATGATACCTGTGGAATAGTTTTTGTTTTGCTAAAAAGGAAAGTTTTGGCATCGATAAGAATTAATGACATACTTTTCTTTTGCAAAACCCACTTGTTGGGCTCCCCGGAGGACAAACAGACTGACCTTGTGGCAGTGTGCATGCTGGGCTTGTGGGGACACAGGGATGAGTGGAGGGAAGGGTGCACCTCGGCCCACATGGGGACACAGCCCCTGGGCTTGCAGGTGGTTCTCTAGCATCTGGAGAGTGCACCCCTCCAACCCCAGGCCCTGCAGATCCTGTGCCCCAATCTGTCTCCTTGGCAGTGCACTTCGGAGACCCCAGTCCTAGGGCCAGCTCCATTCTGAAAGCACAAAGCCAACAGGGGCAGGCGGCAAATCCAGGTGTGTTCATGGGACGAAGGAGACACTTAGGGTCTTGGGACCAGGGACCAGCCCCACCCTGGCCATGGGTGCCTGCTCTGAGCAACCCTGCTGAAGGACGCCTCTCCTGGCTGAGGCCCAAGTGAAGGGGAGGGGAGTCGACCCAGGAGCTCCACTTAAAAAGACTCCAGTTTCCTGAGGTTCTGTGAGGGAAGGGGGCAGTGAGGGCCCAGCCTGAGGGGTGGGGTTGGGTCTGAGAAGCAGAGGTGGTGGGAAACATTGTTGCCCAGAGGAAAGCATTTAGAATCGCATTGCAACTTTACCCTGGACAAAGAAGAATTACTGTGGAGTAATCGAAATTCCCATTCATCCATCTAAACTTCCTCCCTCCTTCCCGTCCCCATCCCTCTATTCACTCAGCCACCATCTGTCCATCCACTCTCCCTCCCACCCATCCATCCATCCACTCTTCTACCCTTCTACCCATTCAACCCATCCATCCATTGACTCTTCTAATCTTCTACCCATCCATCCATCCCTCCATCTACTCTTCTACTCTTCTACCCATTCAACCATCCATCCATCCATCCATCCATCCATCCATCCATCCATCCATCTACCCTTCTACCCTTCTACCCATCCACACCATCCATTCGTCCATGCTTCTATCCATCCATCAATCCATCCACCCATCCATCCACCCTTCTACCTTTCTGTCCATCAATCTATCCATACACCCTTCTACCCTTCCATCCATCCATCCATCTGTCCATCCATCCATCCATCCATCCATCCATCCATCCATCTATCCATCCATTCACCTATCCATCCATCGATCTATCCATCCACCCTCTACCCTTCCATTTATCCAACCATCCATCCATCCATCCATCCACTCATCCATTCATCCACCACCCATCCATCCATCCTCCCATGCAGCCAGCCAGCAGCATCACCAAGCACGTGAAAATCCACCCTTCTGACAGGAGCAGCCAAGATGTTGAGGAATGGTCATGGCTTCCTGGCTTCACTGTGCTGCTGTTTGACTTGGAGACCCTGAGGAGCTGGGGAGAAGAGCAGTGTTGGGCACTCTCTTGGACAAGAGGCACTGGGGAGCTCTGGAGGTGTGGGGTGGGTGGCAGCAATATGGCTTTCAGAGGGGGGTCATGGGGGTCCAGTGAAGATGGCGGAGCAGTGTGACCAAATACACAGAGCCACAGAGGAAGGGCAAGAAACAGAGAAAGCCCATTGGACAGGACAAGAAAGAGGTGACCATCTCCATTTATTTATTTATTTATTTGCTACAACCCCCCTTATTTTATTTTATTGGTTTGTTTGCTTTGAGACAAGGTCTCACTGGCCTTGAACTTGTAATCTTCCTGCATCAGCCTCCTAGAGGGCTTCTCTATTCTTTTAAAAGGATGCTGTTGTTACCACTTTCACACTAACCCACAATGTGGGACTTTAAGAAATAACAGGGAAAAAATAACTATACCAAATGTGCCTAAATATGCAGAGTGAAAAAGTAAATCAGGTAGAAAGCTGGGCAAAAGACACCCAGCAGGACAGCCTGAAAGGAACCAACAGCCTTGGGTCCTGAGACCTCAGGGTAGGTGGCAGAGGCATGGGACACAGGCTCCATGACCCCTGGGCCACAGACATGCAGTCCTGCACCTTCGCCTGCAACCATCCTCTCCTCAGCTGTCCCACACCGTGCCACACCACACAGGAGCTGAGCGCCCCTTCCAGCTGCCACTGCAGACACTCTGACCCAGCAGGCAGGGCCACTCTCAGGACAGAGCACTGTGCCAGTTGCCAGCTCTGTCAGGGTCTGGCCACTGCAGGGCGACCCCGGCAGCAGAAGCCATGCGGCCATGGGAACTGGAAACTTGGAACAAAGAGATTGCCTTGCCTGTTGGACGGTCCTTTAAGACGGGAGGAAGTTGTCCCAGAAACAGCAAAGGTATGAGGCCATACAGCCTCAATTTGTCGGGGACAGGAGAGTTTTCCTCACACAAACGATCAGAGGACACTGGAAGTCCTGGATTGGTTCCCACGGCCAGTTAGTCATCCCATAAACGGAACTGTACTGCACATTCCCCTGTCCACTATACAACTCCGCATACAGGTTCTGAAAGCGAGTAGGTTTGGTGTGGGTGTGTTCATGGGTCCTGGTCCCCGCCTGGCAGAGAGGAGAGCCTCCCATGAGTGGAACGGTCCCTGTCTGTCACCCCGTGTGTCCATGAGCACGCAGCCTACTAGAGGCTTCCCTGGGGCGTCCCTGTTGCAATACAGTCCCGCCTCTCTCTGGCCATAGGCGTTTGGACACTGGTGGTAACCTCGAACTCACGCCTGCTCTCTTCCACACTGCGGGGTGGGTGGACACTGGGCCACAGTGTGAGGGTGGTGACTCCATCCAGCTAGTCCTGTGCCCTCACATTTTTCTGTCTCCCTCGCCCAGCTGGCCCCCGTAAAGACAGATGAGTTCCTGGCCTTGTGGTGACCGCTTCATTTTGCTGAGGCTTGGGCACGTGGGGCGGCCCTGTGAAGATGGAGTCAGTGTGGTGGCTTTGGAGGTGGGTGCCACGGGTCCCCTGAGGGAGCCGGGCCAAGAGCAGCTGGGGACCTGGTCCCGTCCCCAGGGATAGGGAGCTGACCCTGCCTTTGCTCAGCACAGGGTGGGCCGGGAGCTCTGGGGAAGCTGAGGGCTTCCTGAGCTTCCTGAGCCTTCCACAGACCTGAGGGCTGCGTGGGAAGGGTAGGGTGGGACCAGGAAACTCTGCGAGCTCTCAGTGAGAAGGTGCCTTGTCAGCCGGGAGGGGCACTGGAGGAGCAGGGGGACCTGGGGTGGGCATTCATACACCACTGGTGCCCACGGCCATGACCTTGAAGCCTGGGATGCGGAACACGGTGCCTGGAGGTGTAGGATTCAGAGAGGGCGTGGCCAGGATGAGTGACTCTGTCAGCCATAGTGTGGGGGCTGTCGGGGAGCACATTTTCTTTGACCTGTGTCCCACTGAGCAGGGCCTCAGGAGCTTGTGATTCCCTCATGAGGCTCCTCCTGGTCTTCCCCTGGCCATGCAGCGGCTGCCAGCCTGGGCATGCGGAGATGGTCAGCAGCCTGCTAGCAGGAGTGGACGGCCCTTCCTCCAGGACACACTGCGATGGGGCATGCTCTGGACCCAGCACCCTGGGCACAGGGCATGGACGTGCAAGTGTGTGCACAGGAGGCTAAGCCTGGCCAGGCCCCATCACGTCGCATGGATCTAAGACGCATACAGGTTGTGGAGAGTCCAGGCCACTGGCGCTGGCTGCGGAGTGCATGCCAGAAACAAGGAAGAGCTCGGGACAGTGGGAAGCCTCGCGGGCACTGGGCAGCGGTGGGGCAGAAATGCAACACAGTACACAGCGTGGGTGTCTTGGTTACTTTTTCCTCGTTGCTGGGACAAAACACCTGATGCCCAAAATTAAAGAAGGAAAGGTTTATTTTGCTTACAGTTTGTGGAAGTTTCAGTCCATACTTGGCAGATTATAAGGCAGAGTGGCACATGGCAAAGAGCTGCAGCTCAGGGTGGCAGAACACAGCTAAGCTGCAAGCACACACCAGGCCGGAATCGGGGAGGAATGCCCCAAGCACCCTTTTGCTCTCCCTTACATATGCAAACTACCCACCCCCAGGCGGGTGCAGCTCTCACACCCATATTCAAACTCTGATAGCCTGCCCCATGGCCGCAGAAGGCTTTGGGGGGACACATGGACATAAACCATAACAATGGGTGACACAGCTGAAGACTACAGAGGAGGACAGCAAGAAAGGAGGTTCTGGGGAGCACGAAGGGCGCCCCGGCCCCACGCTCCTGTGGAACACCAGGCTGAGTCAGGGAGAGCTCCACGGACAGGCAGCGCTG